CATAGCTCCACTAAATCAAATTTATGGGCAAGGCTAACGTTTTTGTGGACAAACAGACAGACAGCTAGACAGACGGACGGACACGACAAAAACTATATACCCCTGAAACTTCGTTTACGGGGGAATAAAAATATTAAACAGCGCTATGGCGTGTAAAACGTTGCTTTATTGTGGGGATCCGGGTTAGAATAGGTACTCAGTACCCCCTTGCTTGTCGTAAAAGGCGACTAAATCGGGCGTCCCTCGGATGAGACCGTAAAAACCGAGGCCCCGTGTCACAGCAGGTGTGGCACGATAAAGATCCCTCCCTGCTCAAAGGCCGTAAGTGCTGAGCATAGGCCTAAATTTGCAGCCCTTCACCGGCAATGGTGACGTCTCCATATCAGTGAAATATTCTGGAGAAGGACGTTAAACAGTATACTATCAATCAATCATTATCTTGCGATATATATTCAAAATCTTGTGATGTACATCTATGTTCAAAATCTTGTAATGTATAACAACGGTTTACACGCCATACAGCGCCCTATAGAACCGGGAATTGAACTCCGAGATATCATGGGCTCAAACAATTACATTAAACATTTTCCATCCTTAAATTGTCTTTATTTAAGGTTATCCGATCCTCAGGTTCTGAAAATCAGGCATTGAGTAATTGAAAATGCTCACAAAGATGTCTCTAAATTCTCAAATTAGAATGTATTTACCCACGGTGTTTCTTTAAAATTCATCTTTAAATTTAATATTATATAGGGAAAATTAGTAAATCTCGAATAATTTTTTTCAGGAAATGCGATTTGACCTATTGCAAATTTTTAAATTGATAATTGACCAAGAAATACATTTCAGGAATAAAAATCATAGGTATCCAGGCTTTTAAAGAAAATTGCATGAATTTTACACTTATTTGGACTTTACTTTCTCCTACTTACTTCCATTGTTTCATAATATAGTGTATGAAGTGTTTCCTTTCAAAGAAAACACTGTAAATCACTTCTAATTTCAAATCATGCATATAAACATTGGTAACTAAACTAAGGCTAAATTAAAAGAAATTTGATTTTTTTTTTTAAAATATGCAAAATTTTACTTCATTTTATGAGGTACAAATGTCAACTTTTTAAATAAAGTTTGTAAAAACTTTAAAGAACATTGAATCATGCGTAGAGGCATAAAATGAAAATTGTTGCATGAAAAAATTTCAATTTCAAGCTTTATTTTAAGACTTTTTGAATTAAATTATAAATGAAAGAGTTATCCTTCCTGGCTGAGGATCGTATATCCTTAATAAATGTTACTTTAAAATCGATACAAAACATCAATTTTGAGGCAGATACTATTTTTTGCAGCTAACTGTAAAGTTTCACGTTTCGTCACGATCTTTTTTTCGTCAGATGCATCCAGCGTAAGCAATTCACGTGATTGGTCAACTCAAATTATCAACATTGATACGGAAATAGTCTGTTGCACGAGCAACCAATCAGGGATAAGCTTATGAAGAAAGTTCCAGTCGTAAAGCTTGCGGTTAGGAGGCGTGTACAATTTACCTTGAGTGCAGCTGTCAACTAGATCGTGACGTAACGTGAAACTTGACAGTCAGCTGCAAACAATAGTAATGTAAAACATTACAAGCATTTTACGTAATATCTAATTTTTTAATTTGCCCCAATTAACTTCGTTTCGATAACGGTCGAATCTGACCTGCGTAAACGCAGTTTTTTTAACGCTCAACCATCGTAAAAATTACTTTCAACCCCATACTGAGTCATGTAATAACAAAGATAACCAAGAGAGGACATGACACATAAAATTAATTGCATGTTATACATGTATGTATATTTTGAACATCGCACAACTAGACTAAACGTTTCATTTATTTTTAGCTCACCTGAGCCCAGAAGGATCAAAATTTGTCCGTTGTCTGTCGACGTCGTCGTTGTCGTAAACTTTTTCAAATTTTCAACTTCTTCTCAAAGAACCACTTGGCCGATTTCAACTAAACTTGGTACAGAGTATCTTTTGGTAAAGTTTGTTTAAAAGAAGGGCCATGTCCTCTTCCAAGGGGAGATAATTATCAATGAGTGAAAATGGCATCTTTTAAAAATCCTCTCAAGAACCATTGGGGCAGGAAAGATGAAACTCATGTGGAAGCATCCTTGGGTAGTGTAAATTTAAGTTTCTTCAAATCATGACCTCCAGGGTTAGGGTGGGGCCACAATGGGGGATCAAAGTTAAACATAGGAATACATAGGAAAAATCTTCTTAATAACAGCAAAGACATGATTGGTCATAGTTATATAAGAAAGCATTCTCAGGTCACAGTTACAATAGAAGCATCCTTCTCTTGTACTGTATAGATTCCAGTTTGTTCAAATCATTACCCCTGGGGCAAGGGCATCCATAGAAAGTATAGATTTAAGTTTGTTCAAATACCCCCCCTCCCCGAACCCACTTTTTAAAAAACTTTTCAATTCTAAACTAAATTTTGCTTTAACCTAGCCAGTTTCTCAGGTGAGCAATGTGGCCCTGGGGTTCTTGTTATTTTTAAAGTTTTTTTTACAAATATAAATTCATCATTTATTGCTTCTTGTCTTCATTCTTAAATAAATTGAAGATATAATAAAAATAATTTTCAAATGTCTCTTTCAGTAATTCAGCCAAATGTGTCCAATTCACTATGCCCAGTTGAAACACCTCTACAAAAAAGATAAAAAGATATTATTGTTCATCCTTCCAAGTATTCTCTGAAAAGCAAGAAAAATTATTAAATATGCAAGTCGTATCTATGGTTTTGTTGTTATGATACACATCAAGATCCCACCACCTTTATTTTTATAGCGTAAATTGTAAAACAGCATTCAATATTGTAACATGCAACATGAGAAATAAGTTCTAATAATCTTTCTAGAAGATTGCATCAAACTTCTTGTCAACTGATATTCATTTTTTGGTGCTTGATACAATGGTAACTTCTTCCACTTTTCTGTGCACTTCTACAAGTAGGAATATCTATGTCTTGGGGCATACAAAAATTATTTTTTTAGGTTCCAAAATTTGACATTTTCTACAACCTAATATGGAAGGACAGTTAGGGCATTTACCAATTGAAACCAGTCAGTAAAGTTGGGAGATTTAAGGAATTGACCAATATCTGGTACAACATTTCCAAGGCATTTTATTTTTACTATTTAGTGTCATCAACAATGAGACACCGCTGTCATATATACTTTAAGTAATGCACAGTTTTTCCTGCTTGTGGAGAGAGAGAGAGAGAGAGCTATTATCTATTTAAGATTGCTGAAACTGGTCAAAGATCTCCACATTCATTTTTACTTTCCATACATGAAAATAAGTTCATAAAGATATAAAATGCAAATATTTCATTTAAATGTTAAAAGAAGGGGTGTAATTAAAATCAATTCACAAAGTAGTGAAAACAAGATGTGTTTGTGAAACACTGATGCCTTCCTATGGCAGCTTATGTTGAAGGTTAATGTTTCTAAAATGAAAGTCAAACTCCAAGATCAAGGGATAAAAAATGGTGTTACCTAAAGAAAGGACTTGTGTCAATGAATATAATTGGTTAATATGAAAGTCCAAGCACCAACCATTCAAAAGTTATGGACAAGATTATTGTTTTCTAAAAGTGGGACAAACTGAAAGGTCAAATATTAATGGTACATGAAGGCCTTATCATAAAGTTAAAAGTTTTTCAAAAGTAGGTCAAAGTCCAAGGTCAAAATTGATGGTATGTAAAGGAAGTTCTTGTCACAAAGAATACATCTGTGAAATTTGAGAGCCCTAGTACTATCTTTTCAAAAGTTATGGTTAAAGTTTCTTAAAATTGGGTCAAACTCTAAGGTCAAGGTAAAAAGGAAGTATTTACACCCTTTGAAAGGCCTTTTCACAATGAATACACATGTGAGGTATGAAAGCTATATGGCTAAGGCTAAAGTTGTGTAAATTTTTGCAAAAGTGGGTCAAACTCCAAGGTCAAATATATAAGTTATAGTTTTTGAAGACAAACAGATAGACAGACGGAAAGACAGGGCAAAAACTATATATGTTGATTTTTCAATTTCGGGGGAATTAAAAGACTCTGTATTGATATCCCAAGTCTTACCTTAATTTGATACAGCACAAATAAGAATGCAATAGATATAAGAACTGTTACATGCACTACGGCTTCAGCTATCTCTGGAATGAACATGATGAATAAACGTTTATGTATTAGGGTACTCATTAGGGCTGGGCAAAAAGATTGATATTTCGGTATATTGCAATATATTGAAAAAAAAATATTGTATTGCAATACATTTCTACAAGGCTAATATACTGGGAAAATGATTAAACTCAAAAATTCTATCATTAAATATAAAGAAAAGTTGTAAGAAAGGTTTGTGACTAAGCCAAACAGTAAGACAGAGGCTGTTGTATTTGTTTATTTCAGTGTATAACTGTAGTGAAATTAACATGATTTTTTTCTGTTGGTTACTTATCATAGGTATGTGCATACTAGATGTAAAGTGAAGTTAATATAATGAGAAAATATATAAAATAATTTTGAAAATATTAAATATTGCAGTTAAAAATATCACAATATTTAGCAATAGGAAATCTTTGGCCAATACCCAGCCCTAAGTACTCATAATCGAATCTCAAAACTACTCCTATATATTTTAAATATTTTAATTTTCAATTTAAAATAATATTAATAGTAATTTTATGTCAGACATAGACATTGGAAATGGGGTTATACATACAGGTTGGCAAGAGATCGTTTTTGAACATATATCAGAACAACAGTACTGGTGGGTCAGGAGATACCTTATTCATTTCTTAATTACAGGGTGCGGCATAAAAGTTTGGAAAATATAAAATACAGTTCTTACAGTTATTTCTTGAATTTAAAATTTTCTGAAAATACACATAGTCAAATGTATAACTAAATTTAATTAACAGATGACTTGCCTTTCTGTTTCTTTTGTGTGTCTGGATCTTCTTGGTTTGTTTGTTCCATTGGGGTCTTCTTTATGTCATCTTGATTTGGTTTAAAATGTATCTGATTTTCCTCCCAAATTCTTGATACTTTTAAAAATTCAGCCTCTAAAGGAAAGGTCATCATTAAAAATATTTTTGATGTACTTCAACCCACATTTTTCAAGGTTGGTAGGTACAATGTAGGTAGGTAGTGTTTTTCTAATGCTCCTGGATTGATAGATTCGGGAGTGAATATTGTTTTTGTCCTGTCTGTTTGTCTGCAAACTTTAACCTTTGCCTTAACTTTTGAACCATGAAAGAAAGAGACTTCATATTTGGTATGCATTCTCCACTAATTATGCTCTCCCAAATGACACCAAGTTCAGTGAGCTTGTGACCTTGACTGTTACAAATATGCTAAAAATAGATTTTTTCGAACTTTGTTGATGCCGGGCACTAAGTGTTTCACAAACACATCCTGTTTTTTTTGCTGACAGTAAACTATCTACCTACATTGAAGAAATTGAAAACTGTAATCATGGTAATAGACTTGGAAATTTATTGATGTTTTCATTACTAACTCACTGAATAGATAGACACTTGATGGATTTTATATTTATTGATTTAAAGCATCGTAGAGAAATTATATACATGTACCTGAGATTTAATTTAATATTTAAGCGGGAAAAAAATAAAAACCAAGCGCTGAAAAATATTGTTGAGTACTAGGGCCTAGGGGCGATTTTGAAGGGTTGGTCAGAGTACATCAAAGAATCATTCATTTTTTATCGTTGGCCATCAATTGATATTAAAAAAATCTAAAAGGTTAATTAAATACTGAGTTGAAAATAATATGAATAACTCAATAAGATTTCAAATCAGTTACATTGAAAATACACAATTTTGTATACCATATTTTTTTCTGTCTTTGAGACATTCATCAGTTTCCTTTCTTTGTAACTCAAGCTCCAGTTTCAGCTTCTTTAAGTCTTCTCGAAATTCATCTTTAAAAGAAAGAAAGAAGAAAAAAACTTTTAAAATCTTATAAAAACTAAAACTAATAAAAGCAAGGAAGATTTTACATGTAGTTTAAATTTTTTTGCAAGTTACGTCATTATTTTACACAGTTATCCATTTGTCTCTGAGTGTAAATGAGGTAAAGAAATATATTAGTTTCGTTTAGTTTCAGAAACAATACTGTGGTACATTGTATATTGCATATTTTTGCCCCCCTATAAATGTCACATTTTGAAAATTTCTTGAAAGGTGCTGAAGTTTATAAAATTGAACGATTGATTGATTGTATACTGTTTAACGTCCCTCTCCAGAATATTTCACTGATATGGAGACATCACCATTGCCGGTGAAGGGCTGCAAATTTAGGCCAATAATGCTCGGCACTTATATTTGAGCAGGGAGGGATCTTTATCGTGCCACACCTGCTGTGACACCGGGCCTCGTTTTATACGGTCTCATCCGAAGGACTGCCCCATTTAGTCGCCTTTTACGACAAGCAAGGGGGTACTGAGGACCTATTCTAACCCGGATCCCCACAGGATTAAAATTGAACGAGAAATGTAAATTGATAAATATGATAGTTTCAAAGTAAGTTACTAACAATTTCTTGTTTTTTAAATAATTTTTTTAAAATTATTTTTCAGAAAGACGACAAATTGGACAAAATTTTAACAATTTTAGCTATAAAATTTATAGACCACAGGCCTGCTCAAGAACAATATCTATATATTTCATTGATATTTTTCTTCACATTATATCAAAATATTGAGCTAGAGCAGACCTGCGCTCAGTGACTTTTACTCAAAATATGGACCGAATATATACCCCTTTGTACTTTTTTTCTGTAGAAATCATGGAAATTTTAAATTTTCTTTCTTTCCTGACGTCATTTCAAACAAATGACGTGTTTGCTTATGAAACTATTCAATGCTTCGAAGTCTGCAGATATCCCCCTGTTTTAGAACATAATTATATATTCCTACGTCAAAGTTTGATTTTGCGGGCAAATATTGGTAATTCACGAATCTAGTTCTTTACCGAGATACTGGTCCTTCCACGAATCTTGCTTTAAACTACTGGCCTTTAGAAGTGACTCGTGCTGTAGTACAATGTTATGTAGGGCTGCACACTTTCTCTCCAAATGGACTAATAGTATACAAGGAATAGCAAAACATGACGATATTATAAGTATAAAATAATCTTTGTACCAAGGCATGAAGAAAACGAAAGTAGAAAAAAGAGAGAATTTATAAACCTGTAAACTCACACCCGATGTTAATTTTGGATTTTACGCATGTGTATATTGTCTGTTGATTATAACTGAAATATTGGATTTTACTAAGTTGAATTATTTAGAAATTTTCTAAAACATTTTCGATTTTAATTCCAGTGTATATTATTTTTCTTAAATAAAACGTTTCACGTGTACAATTTTTTGTAAATATATTTTTATTTTTCCTTCTTTGTAGCCATTGCGAGTGAGTACAATTTGAAAACTAAATTTTTAAAATTATAATGCATTGATTATGTTTCATTTAATTACCCTTTAAGTGCAAGTGTTTTTTTCTATGCATATTTTGATGAATTGAATCACGTCTTGATTCTATTTCGAGAACTCTTATATCTGGCACTAATGTTGGGCATTATCGCACAGGTTCTCTATTGCAGATCTATGGAACGCCGTCACTGCCTTATAGCAGAACACTACAATTGCATTGTGTCAACTTGCCATTACATTATGTCAACACTTTTAGACATTTACTTACAGTACTATTGCGTTATGTCAACTTTCCATTACATTATGTCAACTCTTTGTGACATTTACACACACTACTATTGCGTTATGTCAACTTTCCATTACATTATGTTAAGTCTTTATGGCATTAACTCGCACTTCAATTACATTTCGCCAATCTTCCATTGCATTATATCACCTCTTTATGACATTAAGTCAAGACCATTTTACGTGGTGTAAAGATGTTTTTATATAATTTCAACTCATTATTACATTATGTGCACTCTCTACTATATGGTCTAAGTAGTTCATTACATGATGTGAATTTATCTTTAATTCAATATCAAGTCGCTATAACACGGTGTCAGAATTTCATTATATGATGTGAAAAAATTGTCACATGTGGCCAGTTCTTTACTATTTTATGTCATCAATATGCTACATGACAACGGGAATCTATTACATGATGTCAATTTTCCCTTACTTTTTGACAAATCATTATTATGTTATGCCATTGTATCTTTACATTGTGTCTAAAATGCTTAGCCTCTTGTCAGTATATCTTAGAATATTTCAACTCTTTATTGTATGACGTAAGGTTTAGGTTATGCCTAAAAGTTCGTTTTGTGTTTTCAATATTACATGCACATATGTTAAACATGAAAATAATTTAATTTAAACATATCAAATATTAAATTATACACAAGACTTAATTAATTCTTAATTAAATATCAGGTTAAATTTATAAATAGGATCATGTTCCCATGGAATCTTTATTGACGATTGTTTTTTTTTTTAATGTCGAAATTCAATGGTCGTTTAATCTCATAATTATCGCAAATCAAATAGTATGTGTCATGCAGAAATATTTTTATTATTTTTTTTTTTTTTTTTTGAATTATTTTGAAAAGTCCGAAACTTCATTTTCTGACTACAAAAATATTTTAAGCTTTTTATCAGTCTTTAACCCTCCTTTTTTTTTTTTTTTTTTTTTTTTTAAAGTGTAAACACATCGTATTTCATACTTGCACTGGTGGGTCGGTGGGGAGAGGGGGGATCCCGCCGTCCCATCTGCAGTGACTAAAATATACATGAAATTAATCAATTGGTTTTACTTTGTAGGACATTGCATTAGTTTTACATAAAGTATAACTGAAATAAGTTGAAACGTCTTATAAAAAATCTAAAGCCTTGAGAGCTTCCGGGCTTTCACCCCCTGGTCCCCAACTTAGACACCATATCGTCCCCCTTTAGCTACTCTTTTCAAGAACCCAAGATCGCCACTGATATGAGCCATTGTTTTCTAAAGCATGGTCAATTAATTTAAGTGAGGGACTGGTAGATTTTTGTGACAGAATTCTTGTCCTGGAATGGTTGAAAAATAACTAATTCCAGTGATGTTGGATCGTTTTTGAAAGTTGGGGAGGTTTGTCAGCCAGAAAAAAATAACGTACAAGAAAAAGCACAAAAAAAAAAAAATCAAAAAAAAAATCCAAAACCAAACCCGAAAATCCTATTTCGGGTGAATGGGTGAAAGGGGGGGGGGGTCTAATTTCGATCAGTCCTAAAAAAATTCCAAATATACTACATTACCCTTATACTTCAGCAAAAAGTGGGGCTGAATTTCAATGAACATTTTCTATGACAAAGTTACGTCGGAAAAAAGAGGAAGTCAGACTCCCCTCATATAATGTGTCTGTAATTCGTCCTAATTAACCAGGACCCCCCCTTCCCAGTCGTGAAAACAAGGTTATCAACTTTGACATAATGTAAATGTATTTCACAGCACGTAATGAACATTTTTAATCAACATGATAAAGAATTAACGCAATGTAAAGATAGTTTTAAGGAGGCTGGCGGGTCAAAAATTTAATCTTAAATAAACCACCAGATTTAACTTATTTTTTTTAGATATGGTATATTTAGCTGTCAACTATCATTTGGCAAAGAAAAAATTCATATATTTTAGTTTTAAAATTTTATCATTTTGTATATCTTTATATGGAGCTCTCCTTTTAAAGGAGATTGAAATAGTCTAAAAATGGCTGCCACCCCCTAGCCTCGTTAAATCACATAAGAAAGAGTTAACATATATTCTTATTAAATATCCACATAAAGGAATGAAGTTTTGACATAATGTAATAAAGTGTTGATATAATATGGAACGCCGGGACTGTCTCCATATTATATATTCACATTATGTTATAATTTTTTTTACATCACGTAATAAAGCACTGACATAAAGGTAAGATGTATTCACCTCACATTGTGATGACCTCGGCGTAAAATAAAGATACATTAACATCACGTAATAATGCTTTGCTATAATAGAAATATACACTCACAAAAGGGAATGGACTTTGACTTAAAGTAATGATAAATTTAATCATAGAACACATGTAAAACGAAATTAACTTGACGTAATGCAATTTTGACCTCACATATTAAAGAAATGAAATAATATAAAGAAAGATTCATTTCACGTAATAAAGTTTTAACACAATGTAAACATATATTCACGTCACATAATGAACTTTGTTCTTCAAGTTATAAAGTGCCGACATAATGGAAGAATGTGTTTACTTTATGTAATGCAGCATTGACATGATGTAAAGATATTTTTACATCACCTCATAAAAAATTGACATAACGTAAAGATATGTTCACATCACGTAATGATAGATTGACATAATGAATGCATAGTTTTATGCTATAAGGCAGTGATGGCGTTCCATACAGATCTATATGTAACGTAATTTTGGATCGCCCCAGGGCACACCTGTGCTATACAAAGTAGTCCATTCTGTCCCCTCCCAAAATCTGTATATACGAAAGAAATTACACTAGTTTTCTAGAACTCTGCGTGGGGTCCGTTTTACAACATAGACGACTAAAATTTAATTAATTCTGCTTTTTTCCCCCCTTTTTTACTTTAACATGTTTAATTTGAAAAAGGTTTTAAAATCTCTTGAAAGAGAACTTTTTCAAATTATATTTTTATTCTACAGGATCAACTATTCTGGAAAATTGCAACTAACTTAGTTTTTGGTCTTAGTCGTAAGTTCTTCTGTAAAACAGGCCCCTGGGTTCTATATTGTGGAAAGAAATTTGGAGCTGGATACTTAGAACTGTGCTACGCAGTGGTCCCCCCAATCAGTTGTATCTACTAAAGAAAATCTATATGAGTTCTTCAAATTATACTTATGTGTTAGACATAATAATTATATTTTGAATATAATACATTTTCTCTTATAATTTAATTGAACTATAAGGTAATCTATGCAGGCGCGGATCCAGGAATTGAAGTTTGAGGGGGCGCCAAAGATAGGCAGGGGGTCTGGAAGCCGCCTTGAGGACCCCAGTGGGTCCAGGGGGCGAAGCCCCCTGAAGCTCCTGGATTTTTAGAGATTTTGTAGGGTAAAAAGAGGTCTACCAAGTAGACATATTTACATTTTTCCAGACGAAACTGTGATTTACGCTAACTTTGACAATTTTAGGGGTGGGGGGGGGCGCCGGGTGCGCCCCCCTTAAATCCGCCACTGCTATGCCCTTGCGATATTGAAATCTGTGTAATCTATGACCTCTATGTTATTTCTGTAAATATTTAAGTCATCTGGATATACCGGGTATAATAACTTTACAAAATAAATAGGTATTAAAAAGGTATCTTTTTGTACATATGTCTATTCTCCGTTGATTTCGTCATAGTATATACTTTATCCGTGCTGTGGATACTCCTATATACCCCCTGCTATTCAAGTGGGGATTTAAAAATCAGTGCATTTGCATTCACTCCTCTTGATTACAAACATTCCTTTGTACTGATTACATAGAAACAGAAAATAACATTTCATAATTTTAATAATTTATTTTCTTCTAAAGCTATGACAAACGACATACATTAAGTTCTGGTCCCATTGCTATAAATGTTCAGGAAAAAAGTTACACCGTAAGACCAGGAAGATGTATGAATACGGGAAACAAGATAAGTTATTTTTGTTGAAGAAATAAGTATTCCTGTGCCTGGGACTTGCATTATATAGTGGCGATCAAGGAATCTTGAAAAGTGTGGGGGCAGTTTGGGGTGAAGGTAGGGGCCCACAGCCACACCAAAAATTGATTTATTAAATCTTATGTATATTTTTAACACAAAAGAGGAAGGCCCGGCCACCCCTGCCCCCTCTAAATCCGCCAGTGTTACTAGTATATAGACCCGAATTATTACATCAGTCCTGATGATACATTACGTATATATTTCGTAGTACTGGTACTGATTACAAATCGAACCATGTACTACATGGACCCTACATGTATGTAAGATTCCATAGAAACATCTTCTTTGTTTGTAAGTTTTATGGTGGAGATGAATGCGGGATATATCTTTTAAATACAAAGTGTTCATTTTACACTTTATAACAAACCCGTATAAGTGGAAATTTTAGCAAGACGCAAATTTAACGAGTTGTCCTTAAAATTGGTATTTTATTTTTAGCGACATGTAATTTTAGCGATTTTAAAAAGTTTACTTAAGAAGCTATTACAAATAAAGCGCAATTTATTTTTAGCGATGTTCAATTTTAGCGATCTTCGCACCCTCGCTTATAGTGCCAAAATTAAATCCTCGCTAAAAATTCTACTTATATGGTAATATTAAAATGTTCTTCTTAACGTGAGAGAAATTCATGAGCAAAATCTGATGTTCATCATCCCTGTTGCGTTGAATAAATGCTCACGATTTCCTTAAAGGATTTGATAATCAGCCTTTGAATCGGGATAAATAAATGTTTATTTTTACAGTGAATGTACCCTCAGAGCTCGCTTTACGACTCTAATGCAGGAAATCAAGAGTTCAAGCTAGTGCGTTATTCAACCAGCATTCGGTGCACTGTCTCTTAGTAAAGTGCTCTCATTGACCTTTAAGGCACGGGATCTCTGCATAATGACACACTGTTTACTCACGGACAACAGCGTTCTCAAGTTTAATCCATTCCAACCAAACTCTGAGAGTAAGGTTCTGGACAGACGGATGGACAGACAGCCTTGCCAATCACCTTTTGTCTACTACATTTCGGAAAGACATAATGTTAAAGCATATCATACATGTCATACTGAAGCTTTTTGATAACATGGTAAGCGTTTCTTAATTTCACGAGTAAATCTGGAATCAAAGGCAGCATAGAGAAATGGGTTGACGATATTATTGACGATGTAAAACCTATAGAAAAATAACGTGAGTCTTATTTCATTGTCGGAGAGTGCAGTCCAAAACTCCTTATTAGCCGCCTCCTGGATCATTATAACTAACCTGGGTGTAAATGTCAGTACAAACACGACTGTAATTAGCATAAATAATATAGAAATCTTGTATTTCTTCAGAGTTTGCTTAACACTAAGGACATGGCTAACAATGCTCTTTTTTCGCCGACCGTTTTCCCGAGTTGCTACTGGAATACTGGAATCTTCAAGGTCATCATCGGTCGAGTAGAAGGATTCAGAAGAGTCCTTTCGTTTCTTATTGTCAGATTCCTCTTTCGTTGAATTTTCGACGAAAACGTCATCATTTCCATCGGATACAACGCCTGAGTCTGATTTGGGTAAATTTGCAGGAACGAAGCTTTTCCGTGGAGATGAAGTAAAACGATTTCGAAATTTCGTCTGTTTATAAATGGTTTTTCCAACGAAATAATATAGGACTGTGACGATTGAGATCCCTATGAAAGCAAACGAAGCAAGAACAGCGTTATACACCGTGAAATAGTTTTCCAGTCCAGTAAAGAGGCTGTTTCGGCCGCACATATGTCCTATAATATAATATAGTATTATATAATAATATATAATGTTGAATATTATATAGCATAATAAAATACAATAAATGTTTAACAGAATACTAGTATATAAAATACACACAGTCATATATATATTCTTAGAATAACATTCGAGAAAGCAATAATTGAGGCAAGTGAATTATGTTTGTAAATTAATAATGTATAAAGAATAAATTCCAGTTAAAAGATAATAAATATTAATATAAATAAATCTTGCCTATGAGATGGGGTGCACCTCTAGCTGAAAACTGGATTTCTCCATGAAAGAATACAGTTGGAAACGTCAATACAGCGGAAACTACAAAAATCGTAACCATGGAAACTTGTTTGGCTAGAGGTGTCATCTGATTTTGAAAAGGTCGGCAAACTTTCTTGTACCGATCCACCGCAATCAACAACAGCATCAGAGCAGACACGACTGTCGACCACTTCGTCATGAACCATATACCCTTACACAGAGCATCCCCCGAAAAGCGAATGGGCCGCATGTTTAAAGAGATTGCGAATCCGCTTCCGATGATACAGGACAAGGCATCGCAGACAGCCAGATAGGGAATGAAGAACCTGTCCGTACGGTGTCTGTTCATGCAGAACTTGTACACGTAAAACACCAGAAAGTTTCCCAAAACACCGACCACCAAATACACACTCAAGACCACGGTGTTCGGCAACAAGAACTCGGCACGGAGATTGTTCAGTGTTACAATGTCGATGCCATTGCTTGTTGGATAAGAGTTATTTAAATCCATGTTCGGTAAATTTGTATTATTTGAATCCATTAATTTTTTTAACGTATTGAGATTCCTCACTCTTTAGCAGATATCGATATTAGTATACTCTAGTACTTGTAGATCTTTTCCTGCTTTTATAGTGCACCTTCCTGTAAGTTGTAGGAAAGGGGGAACATGTGTCATTTCCGAGATGATACCGTCTCCGTGACAGTGGGTTAAAGAACAAAGATATCAATTATCAGCAGATTTTGTACCGGAGAAAAACATTTTCCAACGCAAGCTACACATATAAGGACAATCTCATGCACATTTCCTCTATTAAAAGAAAATATTTATAAGAAAATATTTTTTTCTTCTGAATTATTTCTGTCGGGTACATTCTTATGCCAAAATTGATATTAATAATAATCATTCTATTCTTAGGTCATTCAATCGTCTTAAGATCTCAAAATAAACATCCGGCCATGGTTACTCAGTAAAAAAATATGATTCAAAATCAAAAATATAGTTCATGTAAGTTTATTCTTCTTAAGAATAACGGTGTTTATTTCCTTGAAATGATTCACTTCCTTTTCTTGTTTCTTGTGTTATTTCGCCATTGATGATTACAATTGTTTTGTGATTTTTTTTCGTAATTATTTAAACATTAATGTCATTCTCTCGTTGATATCATCTCACATTGATATCACTTCCATCTGAGATCTTCTCACCTTGATATCATATGACCAGTCGTTAGATATCACGTTGTTTGATACCGCAGAACCAATTATTTATTATTGTCGGATGTAGAGTTGCACAGCACAAGTTTCTTGACCTAGAATTCGAATAAACTATAGAAAACTTAACTGAAATATCAAAGTAATTCCGTCTAGAAAGTAAGGTGTTATCATGTTGGAAATTGCGAATTTACCTTCACTTGTAAATTTGAAAATCGAACGTTTACAAAACTATATAACATAGATATTTAAAATATATATCAAATTAAAAAAAAACACACTAACTTCCTGTAAACTGCATCGACTGAACAGAACTTTTAATAATTTGTTGAGATATTTTATTCTTATGTCAATATTTATAAAGAAAATAGTTATCTTTACATAAAAACAAGCATCAATATATTTTTAAAACTTGTAATTTATATTGACAAAATTGTGTTAAAAAATATTAATTTAACTTTAGTCATAAACGAAATAGTATATATAAACCATGTGTATTCACACAGTTTACTAATTTTTAAGCAGCAAATATGTCGATAGCTTTCACGTATATTTAAAACTGCTATCGGAAATAACCCTTGAGATGTATAATCTATTTCTAAACCCATACGACATGTTTACTCGATCACATTGGACATCATTCTAAAATAGTCATCATTTCATCATTAAATTGTACAACTAAGAAAACATGGTACATGTATACTCCACCCAGAGGTTTACTTAAATCGTAAAAGGAAACTTGCTCACAATGGTTATGACTAAATTTCTTTTTTGTGTCTTAAAAATAAAATACGTATTTTGTTTTAATGGTGATTTATTGTTTAATACTCATGTTAAGAGTTATTCATAAATCATGGTATGACGTATATACATGTATGTCAGAGGACTCTCTTTCAAGGGATTATATCTTACTCCAATGAATGAATTTAAAATTTACAAATTATTAAATTGTAATTATTCCTTTAACTTGATAATTTTTCCCTAGGAATTCAATAAAATTTATGTTCATTAATGCATGCATTATAAATTTAGTTATTGATTTCACATGAGTATCTTTGCCACCCTGCTTTTCTGCATCGGATAATACACTCTAAAGGCTTTCTTATCAGTTTCATTTTTTTCTTGTCTACTAGTTCTTAATAAGAAATTTCTTTTCAGATGTTTTATTTTTTTCAATGTAAAACTTTTGATTCCCTATTGTATCTCCAACCTACCCAAAGAAACCAATATCTTAAAAATTTAAATAGCTATCACCTAAACGCTTTCATTTCTAAACGTCATCATTTCTCATCCAGTGGTTATTGAGAAGATTTTTAAAAGATTTTTCCGGTATATTTTAATATAAACTTTGATCCAATGTTATGACCCATTGAAAAAAAAAATTGAAAAGAGAAAAGATTATATGGCTCTGTTTTTCTTCAACAACATATTTTTCCTATCTATTTTTATGTTAAACTTTCATCCTCCATTGTGGCCTATCTCATTCCATGGGGGGGGGGGGGATTTTATGATTTGAAAAAAAAAATGAATCAAAACTACCCGAAGATGACTCGATATCAAACCTGGCTTGGTTGAAGAAAGGAAAAAATTCAATCTTTTCAAGAAGAAAAGATTGAATTTTTTCCTTACATTTCTTCATGTAAAAGCTTGAATTCCCATTTTGATCTCACAATAATTCCAGGCTCATGATTTGAACAGACCAAAATCATCTCTACCCAAAGATCCTTCTATATCTATACGATTAATCATGGCTTTGCTGTTCCTGAGAAGAAGAATTTTCCCGACATTATTCCCATGAGAACTTTGATTCTTCATTTTGGTTCCACCTACACCCCCCCGGGGGTCATGATTTTAACAAACATACATTATCACTACCTGAGGATGCGTCTTTATCAATCTGACTTTACATATGCAGCATTATTCTTGAAAAGATTTTTCTTTGTATTTTTATGTAAAACTTTGATCCAACATTATGGCCCCATTTTATTCCCAGTGGTCATGTTTTTTGAACAAACTTTGATCTACACTACCAACCGAGGATATGTTATACACATGCGTATAAATGTCTGGTTTAAGAATGGTTTGCATGGTCAGGGCTTATCAGGTGAGCGATGTGGCCCATGGGCCTCTTGTTATTAAATCATTTTGATCCTGATGCTAATTAGCGAACTGACTTGTTAAGGCATACAACGGATATTTTGGGAAGAGACACAACTGGCTGGGCTTGCTCTTTTGCTGTCCTCCTCTGAAAGTGGGGGATATTGATTGCGGTCTATCTATCTGTCCGTCCGTCTGTCTGTAGTTCTGTCTGTTTGTAAAACTAGCATTTTTCCGCGATAACTTGAGAAGCCTTTGAGCTTTTGCAATGAAATTTTACACAACTCACTATGACCTATTAAAAATTTTGATTTTGGAGTCAAAAGGTAATAACTGATAAAAATTATCTCTGTTGCAGACTTTTGCTTCCGCGCGATATCTCGATAAGCCTTTGAGCTTTTGTAATGACATTTTATACGACAACTCCCTATGGCGTAAGGAAGACCCAATTTATGTTTAGGTTCAAAGGTCAACGTCATGAATTCTTAATTCTGTGTGACTCTGTAAAACTTTCATTTGCAGTCAACATCTCAAGATTGATTGATTGATTGTATATTGTTTAACGTCCCTCTCGAGAATTTTTCACTCATATGGAGACGTCACCGTATGCCGGTGAAGGGCTTCAAATTTTGACCTTTACTCGGCACTTAGGGCCATTGAGCAGTGAGGGATCTTTATCGTGCCAGCGCCTGCCGCTGACACGGGGCCTCGGTTTTTAAGGTCTCATCCGAAGGACCCGCAACTTTCACTTCAAAGTGCCGAGCGCATGGCGAAGGAACAGTTGCTACCCATTTTAACGACTAGGTCGGTCGCGGCCGAGATACGAACTCACGACCTCCCGATCACGGAGCGATCGCTCTACCGACTGAGCTACCGTGAACGGTAAACATCTCAAGAAGATTCGGGGTTTTTGCAATTGAATTTTATACCATAACTCCCTACGGCCCCGCCCGCCTTTCTTGAAGTGCGCCCCCTTCCTAGATCTTTGCATGCCTTTTTTTCTAAGTGGGATCGAGACACAGATTCTCATGATTAGCTTTTTTCATAAAATTAGACCATTTACGTTGTGGTAGTCAGATTTAGGGATTTAAAGCATCGCTATGTTAAAGGTCTGATAAGTAAATTTGTAAGTTTTAGTGTTTAATTTTGTTTCAATTCTACTTTTTTAAATTTCAAGTTAAATTCAGCTAGCTACATGTAGGTCAAATTAGGATAGTTAACAAACTAAAATAAAATAAAATAATACAGAAGTTTTATGCAAAAATTAGGCTAAACAAGGACTATATGTTACATGGGATCTTTTTGCATGGAATATAGATGTTTATTTTTTTAATTTTAAAAGTACTAAAAATGTACTTGGTATTTCAATGGTCCTTTAATGATATTCTCGATTACGGGTTCAGTATGGATGTTAAGGTATCGTAGTGACAAGGGTTTCTCCATTATCTAAACACAGTAGCCAATAGTGACTTCACTTTCAACATGACAAACTCTAACAGGGGTGATAATGAAGCTTATGGCGTCCCTTTCGGTGACCACGGGATCTGAAAACAGCCTCAGTTTGAATCCATTATCTTTTTAACGTGTTAAGATTTCCTCACTTTTCAGCAGATATCGATGTTAGTATACGCTAGTACTTGTAACCTTTTCCCGGCTAGGGGAAAGGGGGAACACGTGTCATTTCCGAGATAATACCGTCTCCGTGACAGTGGGTTAAAGAACAAAGATATCAATTATCAGCAGATTTTGTACCGGAGAAAAACATCATTTTCCAACGCAAGCTAAGCATACAAGGACAGCCTCATGCACATGCCCTCTATTAGAAGAAGAAAATATTTGTTTCATCGAAATTTTTTTCTGCAGGGAACATAATCTTATGAAAAAAAATGTGATGATAATAATCATTCTATTCTTAGGTCATTCAATCGCCTTAAGATCTCAGAATAAACATCCGACCATGGTTACTCAGTAAAAAAATATGATTCAAAATCAAAAATTTAGTTCATGTAAGTTTATTCTTCTTAAGTATAACGGTGTTTATTTCCTTGAAATGATTCACTTCCTTTTCTGTTTCTTGTGTTATTTCGCCATTAATGATTACAATTGTTTTGTGAATTTTTTTCGTAATTATTTAAACATTGATGTCATTCTCTCGTTGATATCATCTCACATTGATATCACTTCCATCTGAGATCTTCTCACCTTGATATCATATGACCAGTCGTTAGATATCACGCATATAGATCGAGACCGTAGTGAGGATCCAATTTCTTACTGTCGGGATCGATAGAGTGT